ATGAGTGAAAAAATAACTTTGGTGATAATGAAGAGGTGAAATAATTATTTTTTATCTTCTACGTCAATATCAAATTATCATGTCATTCAACTGTGAATGGTTGACGATTTAGTGTTTATATTGAAGTTGAAATCAAAATTTAGTGTTTAAATTAAAATATTTCAAAGTTCAATGATGAAATTGATATAAATCATAAAGTTTAACGACATTTGGGATAGTTTATCTAAAACTTAAATATTTTGTATAATTAGGTTATTTGAAAATATAAATTTTAAACCATAATATTCATTTGAGAAGTTACATTTTAGAATTAGAATATGGATTCCAAAGAAAGCGAAATTTGAGCAATATCTTTTAATGTATTCTCTCCCTATTTAATTTTAGTGATCCAAATACTTGTATATAGTTTTTGGTTTTAAATATGTTAATATAGCGTTTATGTCAATAATTATCTAAATGATGATTTGATGATATAATTAAAATGAAACTCAAAACTTTTATTATATTGAAATAATTGAAAGTTTAATAGAATAAATGATATATCACTTAAATTTAACCGTATGTTATGGAAAACCCCTAAAAACCTAATTTTTTTCTTATTGATGTACCGTTCATCTTTTTTTCGACTTTGTTGATCGGCGGCGGTATCAACTTTAATGTTGGTTTTCAACTGTCGGTATTCTTAATTTTCTTTTTCTTTTTTATATCGTATCTTTGTTTTCTTTTTAATTTTCAATAAATTTCTATGTGTTGCACGTCTTTTATCTGCCTTTATGGCACGTTTTTTTATGTTTTTTGTTTGTATGTTTTTTGATTCTTTGGCCTTTTTAATTATCTTTTTCCTAAGGGTTGATTTGACATTGCCACGACTAATCAAGATGATGTTTATATGATATATACTGATCTTCCCTGCTTTGGACCTCGTATTGGATTTGGATATCCGATTTACGTTCGTGGATAGCTTTTCACATCGCTCGAGTCTGATTTGTTATTTGTCGATGGTTTGTCAATAGCTTAATCCCCTTTTGTGTTCCATTTGCCGACGCGATCAGATCTGTTTGTATCTATTGTTGTTCGAGTTTATTAGTTAGATTTAATCTTTCTTTGTATGGTCCTTATGTGATCTTAAGTTACTAGTTTTGTTTGAATGATTATAGAAAACTTTTCTAGAAAAAAAAATCATTATCTATATATGGAATTTACCCTAAGAATAATAAACAAAAATCACAGTTTATATTTGATGGAGACATTAACATATTTTCCCCAAATAAACTAACATCATTTATTGAAAGGTATTTATTTACAGTGAATCATCTTATTAATATTTTTCTATTAGTGCAGACGAATAGGACCAAAACATGTAGCCAACTTTTCTTATTTAAAAAAATAGAAAACAAAGAAACAAATGGCAATGATCACTCGTCAGCATCTCTACCTCTGATAACCGAGACGCCATTTCACCCAACAAGTAGCCTCACCGGTATCCCAAAAGCTACTCTCTTGCTGCCTCCTCTCAAAAGAAAGCCTTTTGTTTCTTTATAAATTACATCCCCCCAACACACGGAAGCACAAGGCCAACAATAACTTCTTCTTCTTCTTCTTCTTCTTCCTTGTTTGTTTTTTTATTTAGCGGCCAAACGTGTGAGATGGTTGAAGAGACTAGAGAGAGAATGAGAGAAGTGGCACCGTTCACGGTGATGGTAATAATGGAGGCTTGCACCATAGCATTGACGATATTGGCCAAAACTGCCTTAACAGGAGGGCTTAGCCCTTTTGTATTTGTGGTGTATACCAATGTTATCGGCTCATCCTTGCTACTCCCTTTCTCCTTCCTTTATCATCGTAGGGAAAGGTCTTTATCTTCCATTATTATTCGTACGTAAAACTTTTTTTTTTTCCATTCCGCAAGTTCACAGTTTGTCTTTCTCATTGGTTGCAGTACACAACAGTCACTCTTCACTTTCCCACTCCTCCTCCGTATATTTTTCCTGGGTTTAACAGGGTAAACTATCTCTTCTCTTTATTTGGATCTTCCTTTTGCAGTTTCTTAAGCTATTTCTTCATGTTTTTTAATATGAAAGTCGACCACCTTTTGTTGGTGGTGATTTGTAGGATTGCTGTATCTCAGAACCTTGCATTCCTTGGGCTAAGCTATAGTTCACCGATCGTTGTATGCGCCACGGGACTCCTTTTACCTTGTCTTTCCTTCTTGCTTTCCATTATTCTCAGGTTCTTAATTTCTCCCAACCATCTTCATATTTTAATAATTTTTTAGCACAGAAAATATAGTATTTTTTATCTATTTGTTTTAATCTGTCTATTTCAGTTTAAAAACATAAACTTGTAGGAAAACATAACTATGTATAAGAAACTTAATATTCTTACTATGAACCATATAAGTATTTCAAGTAAGAGATAATACCAAAAATATAATACGAACATTTGATTAAATAGTTTCTTTGATCGTTATTTTTTATGACATAATGTATATCACGTGTTAAAAGTGATGATATGACATTATTATGTGTCGAAAGTGATGACATAACATTGTCACATATTCACATACTCAAGTCATGACGTGATAGATATCATGAGTCCAAAGTGATGATATGTCATTGTTTAGTATCCAAAGTAATGACGTGACATATCTTATGTGTCAAAAATGATGACATGTCATATGTCACGTATCCAAAGTGATAATATGATACATGTCATGTTCAAAGTAATAAAATAGAACATGTCATAGTATCACTTTGAACACATAAGATTTATCACATCCACAATAAATATTAATTAACCATTTTCATCCCACCAGAAGTATTTTACTCAAAATGAAATGTTAAGAACAAAAGTATTATAAAAAATAAGATTTAAAATTATTATTTTGTTAAATGTTAAGCGTAAATTTAGATATTATATATTTAACTAATCAGGTTCCATGTGAAAATAAATCAAAATGATGTCCATAAACATCTATCAGTGTTGGCTGAAATCTCATAATCATCACAGGACGACAAAGCTAGATTGGAGAAGGTCAAGCAGCCAAGCCAAAATGATGGGAACTTTGATCTCGCTCGCAGGATTCATTTTTGTAGAACTATACAGAGGCCCATTTATACGAACATCACCTATTTCCCTTGCCCGCCCGCTTCAAGCTTTACCTAAACTTTTGGTTTTCTACTCCACGCCGAATCGTTGGGTTCTCGGCGGTATTTTGCTTGCGGCTGCTAACTTGTCCGTTTCAATATGGAATACTATTCAGGTACAACAACAATTTAAGATCAGTGTTTGGTTTGTTTCCTGGAAACCTCGTTTTCCTGTGTCTTGTAAGTAATACAATTACAAACATTTGTTTTTGTCAGATGGGGACCGTCAAACATTATCCACAAGTGATGAAAGTGGCCTCTTTTTACAGCTTAGTTGGGACTATCCAATGTTTTGTTTTTTCTTTGTTTATGGAGAGAGATTTAGATGCATGGAAACTTAAACACAACCGGGATCTCCTACTCATTGTTGTGACAGTAAGAACCAAAAACAAAATACCCAGAAATTTTGCTAACACCAATGACATAAGACGAATAATGAATTCGATATCGATGATTATATAATAGGGAATTTTCGGGAGTATTATCCGAAGCAACGTTCATTTAGCATGTACGAGAATGAAGGGACCATTTTACGTGCCGATGTTCAAGCCATTCGGGATACTCTTTGCAACAATTTTCGGAACCAGTTTCTTTACAAACAGTCTTCAGTATGGAAGGTAATTAAAATCCATGCCTTGTCTTTAACTTTCCTCAGAATCTTAATATATCTTACTGATAAAAAAGCGTTATACAGTGTAATAGGGACAATGATAGCTGGAACGGGATACTATGCTTTGATGTGGGGACAAATCAGGGAAGCAGAGCTTCGCAAAGAGCTCGACGTCGAAAAAATGGGTGATATTACAGACCTCAATGCCCCTCTTTTGCAGGAGGAAGAAGAAGATGCCAAAGTCTAGCCTTTGCGTGCCCCCTTTTTCTCTCATCAAATGGAAGCCAAGAGCCTCAACGGTCAAACCAGAAGGGGCTAAGATTTTGTGGAAGCCCCTTTTATTGCATGTATATACCTATGATATGATTGCCTTTTGGCGTAAATGTAAATCTTCTTGCTGGGTTATTTTTTTCGCCCTGCTTCTTGGAGGTTTGATTGATGACAGATTCATGAGTTTGAAATGATTGTGTCATACTTGTGGTTTTTGAGTGAATAAGAAACTGAGAAAAAAAAACAGAAATCATATATCTGCTGTATTTATGTATCGAAGTGTTTAAAATAGGCTTCTTTTATTTATTCACCCTGCTCATGTAATTTGTAACTATATTTACTTTTCTTTTTTAAGTATACCGTTAAGTCTTTAACGACAAATGATCAAGATGAAATCAAAATTTAACATTATGATTTAAAAAAACTAAATGAACAAAACAGAATAAAAATAATAATTAAAATACTAAATAAGTAATTTACCTAAATAAAATTAAACTCGTAAATTTTAGATGGTACCCTCCATGTGAAAAAACACTATTAATGGGAAGGCCTTGCCGAACTTTAGCTTATACATCAAGTTTCGCCTGCATTTACCTTTCTGTTGAAATACCGAAATGATCTCACCAACTTTAATGACTTCTTAAAAACTCTGTCCCACTTTCTTCCTACTCAAGCTTAGGTGAAAAGAAAGTTCTTTGGATTCCTTGGCCTCACCTACTCTTTCTATAACCAAAATTATTGAAACTATCTCTTTCTAAGATTTAAGATTGATAAGAGATAAACACAATTTGAATTTGAATTCGAACAGTTTTATCTGCGTCTATGAATTTTGTCAGATCTAAATCTTCTTAAAAAAAGTTGATAAAATTTTGAAGTTTCGGAAATTCTAGTATAGACCAAAAACGGAGCACGTTACAGGGGAAGTGACCAAGATGGCAACCTTGTTTCCCGAGAAACAAACAGGAAATTCCAAGTGATCTTTCAACTTCCTCCACACATTTTTAGCGTTGAGGCCATTTGTACAGATCTGATAACAAAAACTCAACATGTGTGTCCAACTGAACCATCTCATTTTCGTCAACAACACTAGTTTTGCGAAACAACAATATGCACCTACCAAAACACAGATGAACAGCAAAATGAAATTTGAAGGGAAAAAAACAGAATTTCGTATTGTATTCTCCTCACGCTCACCGTCTCATCGCCTCCATCTTTTGATTACTTGTAACATTATCTGATTCCAAGTATCGATAGGACCCGGAAGACACCAATGTACACAGTCGTTTTGAACATGTTCTTGAATCCCATTAGCAAATGGAAATGGATACATGTAAGGCCCTGGATGACCATCTGGTCTCATCAATGATAATTTGGTCACATCCAATGTCTCAACTCTCAACCCTCCAAATTGCTTTGCATTTACCTTAGCAGCTTCGATTTCTTCTACCGCAATCGATCTCATATCTGCATCCATTCCTTCAACCATCTTCTCCCCTTCCCTGTCAGGCTCTGTCTTGGGACAAGCACCTGCCTTATCCCATTCGCCTTCGAAATGCGAAGGCGAAAAACTGGTTAAAAACACATCGATTCCGCTACCGCTACCTGCTTTCCTTCCAATTATCGTCTTCAAAGTCGTCTTTATCGCCTTCCTCATCACATCATAAAAGCCTATCTCGGTTAGGTTCAATCCAGGGCAGTAATGGCAACCTAAAACCGAACCACCTTCATAATAAACAGCCGGATGAAGGAACCAATGCCCAATTGAGAGTACAATCATATCTAAATGATCCAAATCAGATCCCCACCTCTCATCAATAACATCAACATGCAATTCGTTATGATCCGGGCCAGTTTTCGATTTCTCAACACCTCTAACAAGAAACGGCGACCAATAAACAGATACGGTAACATTATGAGAATCGAAATGCCACCGCCGGAACTTGTTATCCTCCCCGTTGGCGTAAACCAGGTTAGGATTCGAGACGGAGGCCAGCATGCAAAGGAGTGATTCCAATTGGTTCCGAGCCATCGAGTCACCAACAAAAGCTATGTGCTTGTTACTAAGGAGGTTGAAGAAAGTTTTGGGATCAAACCTCGGGAGCTCGCATTGGCTCGGTTGCCATCGCCAGTAAAGGTAACCCAAATCTGGTCTCCCATGGGAGATGCAATTTTGACCGTCTTTGATTGTACCACAGGTTGTGCCATTGTATAAAGGCCCCATCTTGTCACGTACCCATCTACCATTGGTGTAGTTACATGGAACTTCATTAGATGTTCCCTCTTCTGCAAAAATTAGAAACAAAATGAAAACTTGATTAATACTAATAACACCCATAATCGAAAAAAAGCCAGAAAAGGGGTCAAATGTACCTATGGAGAAAGATGATGATGAAGAAGAAGAGGTGAGAACGATGCGATTGCTGTGAGGAAGCTGATCTGTGGGGGGCGAAGGGAAAGGGTGAAAGTAGAAGCGAAAGAGAGCAATGGGGAAGAGAGCATAAATAACATAAGGCAAGAACTTGGTGGTGAAAGAACGAGAGTGAGTTTGGCCTTTGAGTGGACTCGTTACGCCCATTTGAGAAAGACAAAAATTGCTGTGTTTTTCTGGTAATCTCAAACTAAAACATTATCCACCTGTTGATCTGTTTTTTTCTTTCTTTCTGGGTTCGTTTTGGCTTTGGCTGCCGAAGAACAGTGGAAATTAAAATTTTGTTCCTCAAGGAAGCGGCAGAAGAGAGACAGAGACATAGAAAGTTTATTATGACTGGATTTGGGGCGGGTGTTTTTGACATCGAAAGAATATTATAATATGTAATGTGAGTTGGCCAACAAAACAATTGCCAAGCCAAATTGTTGTTTAGTGTAAGCTGTAACGACGGTGATTTCGTTAGTTTTATTTTACTTCTTTTTAAATTTTATGTTAAAAAAATTATGAATGGATCAATTTTCTTATTTTAAAATTTTATTATAATTTTTTTTAATTTATATATTATATTTAAAAGTTTATTTTATCTTTTACTATAAAAAACATTTTAGTCCATGTATGTTTAAAATTTAACATTCTACAAAAATTTAGAAAAAATTAAAATTTATCAGAAATCACCTATTTTGATTCGTCTTCTATTGGCATCAGTGATCTGGTCCTGACCCCTCTGCTGCCAACCTCAGTTGCTTAGTTCTCTATTATTCCTCTCAATTTAGAAAGAAAAAAACATGTTAAAAATATTATTAACTAATTTATATATATTGCTTTAAACATTTTTAAGATATTTTTAATTTTGAAATAGAATTTAAAATATTTCTTATAATTATATATATCAATTTTTTAAATATTTGTAAAATCTAAGTGTAAAAATAATTCATATTTTAATTCCAAATTTTATTGCCTTCACTTATAATAGTGTTATAATTACAAATAAAAACATAAAAAAGTTAAAATGTTGAATTCAAAAAATATACATTAAATTTTCGTGAAATTTTTATAATTGGAATGAGTGCAAGGGTTTAATTGAAAAAAGTGATGCACAAATCATAAAAAAATTATTTTTTACTTAAAATTAAGAAATATATAAAAAAACATTATAAAATTATATAAAAACAGTTTTTATTTTATTAAAATTTTGTACAATCACGGTCAAACATTTGTTAATGTTGGCAAAAAAGAATTAACATAGTCACATGTTTGAAGAATAAAATATTTATTTTTATAGTGAAAGAATCAAATGAATTGTTACAACATATTTTTTATAATAAAGGGATTAAAATAATACGATTATAATATAGAACCTAAAAACTCAACATGTGTGCCACCATGTTAACTTTTTTGAGATTCCAATCCTAAATAGTTTGATTATTTTAAAATGCAGTCCAACACCTGTGTTTATATTCATAATACAAATCTGGCCTACAAATATATTAGAACATGTAGTCACAATAAAGCATTGGACTGGATGGTGACGGCAGAACTCTAAAACGTCGAGTGGAAGGTCTTTGAGAAAAAGCTTCTCTTTTCATCGCCCATTATTATTTACATGATGGCATGCCCACCTAAAGCCCATCATGGAGATGGATACCCATTCAAAGTGAGTGTGTCCTGCAAATTATGTGATTGGGATATTTCTTTTATGTGGGGGCTATGGGTAAATTGGAGGCGGATAAACTATTTACTCTAATACTACACCTCAAAATTTATTTTGAGATTTATGATATTTATTATAATTAAGGATGAATTCTTCATGTGAAAGGGATAAGTTAAAAAAAATTATTTAAATTCGTTACGTGAGCATGATGAATTATAAAGGATACAATTTTTTTATTAGAATTCACAAAAGAAATAAAAAATTTCAATCAAAAATATATTTTATTAAAACTCATCAGGCTCGTGAAACGAGTTTTAAGTTACTGTATTAATTATCGTAGGTTTGTAATTAATTTTTGAGTTGTCCTAAAAACCTAAATAATTATTTTGCCACAATCATTGAGCTAATTTTGTTGGGTTTATGAGGTCCCCAAATTATGATTTTTCATTTTAAATCAAATTTTAATTTTTTAAATATTTTATTCTAAATCAATTTATAAATTTTAAAATATTTTATATCAGTCTTCGAAATATCAATTTCATTCTTAAATTTTTTATTAGTGTGTCATTAACCTATTAATTGAAAAACTTAATCTTTTTGCGAAAGTATCGAAAGGTAAACTTATGACTTTTTAAAAGAATTTTCAAGATTTCTAAAAATAAATTATTTTTTAAAAGATCATAAACTGAATTCTTAAGACCTTCAAAAATAATTTAATTTCTTTAATCAATAGAATTAAAAACACATTAATAAAATGATCAAAATCGAATAACACGAATAATTTATACAAAATATTTCAAAATTTATGAACTAATTTAAAATAAAATAATTTAGTAATTGATACACATAACTAATTTAGAATGGGTGTCATAGTTTAAGCACGTCTTATGTAATTATCTCTGTGTCTAATATATGAAATGTTGTAATCAGCCCCCTATTACATCTTCTAAATGATTAAACTATTAGATTGATAAATCAGAACATATGATTTTTCCAGTTAAAAGATGAAAGAGGAAGAAGGTGACGGATAGAGATGGGAGGTGTCTTGATTGCCTCGTGATGAGAGTGAGATGTGCATCGAGTATTGTGTAAGTGTAACTACTGCCACTACTCATCATGAATTTTGGCTTACTCTTCTAATTATATTCGATAAAATGATGAACTGATTATGGGATATACAATCAATGATCTAAACAATATCAATGAACTGCTCTGATGAACTACAAACATCGACGAGGGAAGGGTTGACCATTTTCTCTCCCAGCAATCAAACATATGAAGCTGTACTAATTAATGTTGCTTATACATATAAGCACTTTAGTTCAATAAATATTTACATATATAAATGGATATAAAATTTGATGATTATAAAATAATATTTATTTAAAGTATTTTATATTTTATAAATGTAATTATTCAAATTCATAATTTTAAGGAAACATTTTTTTTATCAGCGAAGGATATTCAATGAATTCCAATAGATATAAAATCTTACGTTAAACAAGCCAAATTTTAAAATTTTTTATTTATGTATATATATAATGCGATGAGGTATTAAAAAACTTAAATAATATCAAAGATTTATATTTTAATATTTATGAATATATAATGCGATGAAGTATTAAATATCTTAAATATATCTTTTATATTAAAATCTCTACTGTATCTATTTTGAATTAATTAATTGAATACATAAAAATGTATGGATACAAGGTTGGGAATGAAAGGGCAACAGCTTTGAGTGGCCATTGTTCTCTAGTGTCATCTTTCACAATCACAAACAGTCTTCACCGACGTCCATCAAATATCTGGTAAATAGAAAAGGGGTGTTAAATAAAGATTTGTGGGTGGATGAGTAAAAGACAGTGAAGCAGAATCAAGGTTATGTAATAAACGATTGGGGTCTCGATGTGTGGGATTGGAATCTATTCTGTAGATCTAGATCTGGGGAAATTATAGTGCCCGGTTCATTTACAGGCCTATCCACGTGGAGGTGATGCGGCTTTCCTAGGGCATAGTGGCTGTGCCCATTCGTCATGCCTTAAACTTGTCGATGATTTTTTGTTGCCGGGCCCGGTACAACTATAGGATATACTTGATTTGTATAAAAAATTTACAAATTATTTATCAAAAATAATTGTGACAAGTTTCGAATTTAATTTTATAAATTTAAATTCTTAAATTTTAATCATTTATACTAAAACTAGTGACAACTTTAATGATTTAGTAGTAACAATCATAATCTAATTACTACCCCTATTATTAATAATAATGTGGCGTTTTTGAACAAGGAACGGCCTGTGTCATCAACTCTCTTATTTGTATATATGAGTAGGGTGCTGGTGGAGCTGTACAGAAAGAGACTGCTGTTTCACCTTCTTTATCTTTCAATCTTTGTTAGTTTTGCATCTTAATTTGAGCATAGAGATGGGGAATTGCCAGGCCATTGATGCTGCTGCGTTGGTGATACAACATCCGTGTGGGAAGATGGAGAGATTGTATTGGCCCGTTCCCGTGAGTGAAGTCATGAGTGAATGCCGGTCATTATGTTTCGCTCATCATTCCACTGCCTGAGCGGAACCAGAATCGAGAAGACGAGGCCGTACGTTTCACCCGTGTCAAGCTTCTTCGTCCTGGTGACACTCTCGCCCTCGGCCATGCTTTTCGCCTCGTCACTTCTCATGGTCTTTTTTCCGCCAGCCGGACTTATTTTTGCTTACTCATTTTGATTATGGAACTAATGGTTTTGTATGTTTTGGCCGAGGTTGCAGAGGTTATGGAGATTTTAAAGGCGAAGAAATATGCGAAAACGAAACGGAAACAACACCTGGAATCAAGTGAAAAGCTGCAGCACGAACAGGACTTGTGATCGATTACAATTTCATTATGAACCCACCAAAAAGAAACATCTATGTATAGCTTCCCATCATATTGTATCATGATATTCTGAGATAATAAGAACTCTTGAATATCAACGATAAAAAATATTATTGTTATTAACTTACTTATTTATTTATTAAGTTAACATGATAACAAAATAGTATTTATTTTAAATATTTTTAATCATTTAATAATAAATATTAAACCATTTGTATACTGATATTTAAACTCGTGACCTCTATTAAAAATAATAATTTCTTTATAAGTTGTTTCGTACCAGGAAGATTTGACTTCGAACACAAATAAGAGTTACAAATATTTCCTTTTGGGTCAATTATTGAAAATTTTCCAGTCAAGCAAAAACCACTTACTTGCACCAATAGGCCTATTTTGTTCAACAAAACATATAAAGTTTCAACCCATTTGCATTTGTAATATAACTTTTAGCCGAAGTTGAAACCCAACCTACAACACTTAGCCCATTTGTCATGCTTACTATCACAACAAATACCCAATTTTGAATTTCAAGCTTAAATCTAAAACATGGAATCCATTTTTGAGTAAATTATCAATTTATTCTTATTTATATCATCAATTCTCTTATATTTTTTTAAAATAATATTAAACACTTAAATTTTAAATCAAATAATATAAAAATACATTTCAAAAATATTTTTTTCACTATCTTTATTGATAAGTGCTTAATTTAGTTAATATTTTGCTTTTAAATTAGTCCTTAATCATTGGTTTTTGTGGCTTAATTGTTCGTTTTCATTCATTTTCTGTGCATGAC